AGGGACTTGGGCATCTCAAACAGCTCTGTACAAAGTACAGTAAGAAATTATAACTTTTCTCAATGTTAATTCAGTGCTAAAATTTGTAAAATGGCACCATTATGGAGAAAAAACATTGCGTTTGACTAAAACAGTTTCCTGTCTAGATCTTGATAAAAACGCATGATACATTTTAAGTAACTGGAATTCTTAAACTAAATGTAGAAGATGACACAAATAGTAGATTAAGGCTTTCCTAGTATTAGAGTTCCCTTTCCTATGCGGAGTAGGTGATAGCTGATCTGATCTAGCTCGACTAGAACAGAAAAACTGTTCTTTATTAATAGTCATTAGTTACTATCAAGTGATAACAGTACCCTCAGTACTGCCTTTGCACAGCTGGGCTTATTTTCAATGTCTCAATACATTATAGTTAAGGTGGCACTTCTTTTTGTCATGCTGGCTAACTTGTTTTAAAAAAAAGTATCTTTTTTCTTATGAGCTAAATTCCACCTGTGTACATAAAAATTTTTGGGAGCTTGTCTAAAAATCAAGGATTTGATGATCTGTGCCATAATTTTCTTTCTAATACTTAATTTATTTAATTTGTAATAGAGTAATTCTGAGGATGAGGACAATGATGATTCAAAATCTCCTGGAAAAGGCAGAAAGAAAATAAGGAAAATTATTAAAGATGATAAACTTAGAACAGAAACACAAAATGCACTTAAAGAAGAAGAAGAAAGAAGAAAACGTATAGCAGAAAGAGAACGGGAGAGAGAGAAATTGAGAGAGGTATGTTTTGTTTTCCTTGCAAAATGCTAGGAAGTTGAATTGTTGATGATGTTTAAGATGACATATTTCTACCTCAATTTAATTTGATAAGTAATTTTAAAAGTACTTGTATGTAGCCTTGTAAGCTTTGTAGTTTCTTGCAGGTTAACATGGGTAAGTTTTATTTCAGACTACTGAGATGTTTAGAAAGCTGTTTCAGTTGCCTACTGCTTTACTTTCCATGGGGAAAAGCACTCTCCCAAAGTAAGTTGTGATGCACAGCAAAGAATTTAAGGTTTCTCTTTACTAAATAAATTATGACTTCCAATTTTGCTAAAGCTCGTGTCTGTCAAATGCTTGGTATTTGTACTTCCTGTGTGAAGTATTCCTATGATGCCCTGTTTCTGCTTACAGGTGATAGAGATAGAAGATGCTTCACCTCTGAAATGTCCCATTACAACTAAGCTGGTTTTAGATGAAGATGAAGAAACCAAAGAACCGTTAGTGCAGGTTCACAGGAATATAGTTACCAGACTGAAACCACACCAAGTAGATGGTAAGGAAAGAGTTTTAAAATTTCCACACCCCCCCCCCCCCCACACCCCCCCTCCCCACTGGCACAGCACCTTATGCAACCTGAATTGGAATCATAAGAACAACTCCTTGGCAGGCAAATGCCAGAATGTCAGGTTTGATGTTTTGTTTTTGGAACATCTGAACAAAAGTAAATGAGATCAGCAATACATAGTTGTTTTACAAGCAAAAAACCGTAGAAATGTAAAGTTGGAAGGGTCCTCAGAATCTTCTAATTCTCCCCACTGAGGCAGAATCAAATATATGTTTACCCATTCTATTGAGGAATTCGTATATTCACTTTTTACAGTTTTCAGTGAAGATTTAAAAACCTCGCAGTATTTTCCTGGCTTTCTCAACAGAATTTTTTTTTTTTCTGATACCTGACATGACTGCACATGAAGCCAACTTCTTTCCATATTCTGTTTCTAGTGAAGAAGGAGAAAGGCAGAATAACCAATCGTAATTTTCTTCACAGCTCATTCTGTTATTTTAAATTTTCCTCAAAGTTCGTAATCTACAACCTTTCCATTTTAGTAAGAAACTTCTGGACTTGCTTCAACTCTTAAAGGGAGATGCCCTGAACCAGACGCAGCAGTCAAGTTGAAGCTTCATCTGTGCTGAGTATAGCATAGTAGAATACAACTTCCCAATAAATACATTGCAAAGAACAAAAAAATCACCCAGCAGACCGTCATGTTGTTAATGCGTTTTGTTATGTAGCATATATTTCCTTTCCTTTTTCAGCTGTCACAGTTCTTACTTTATTTTTTTTCCTCTTTAAGCAGAGAACTTCACATCTGATCTGTCTTGGCAGAATTTCTTCTAGCTGGTTTCAGATAATTTTGCTAATTTACCAAGATCATTTTAGTCTTTTTGTGAAGTCCTTGCCACTTTTTGTTCTGTCTCCTCTTTTCTCCCTGTCCGCAAGATCGCAGTCATCTGCAGTCTGCATAGTAATATTTTCTAACCCAGTTGCCACATCTTCAGTGAAAACTGTGAATATAATTAAGTTCAAGGCAAAGATCATCCCACTTACAACCCATTGGACAGAAATGAATCAATAATTATCCTGAGCACTGCTTTTCTAAGAGTTGTCATGATCTTACAGTGATCTCACCTATTTCTTATCAGGTGAACTTTAATAAAATGGATGTTTAATAAGAAAATTTTCAATAATTTTCTTCAGGTGTTCAGTTCATGTGGGATTGCTGTTGTGAATCTGTAAAAAAAACAAAGACATCTCCTGGTTCTGGATGCATTCTTGCTCACTGTATGGGTTTGGGGAAAACATTACAGGTAAGAAACAAGTCGTCTTGTTTTCTGGTCTGTAGCTTGCTCTCAAAAGCTGATCCAGCAAAAGGCAATTTTAAGGACTTTCAGAACATAGTAAAACTAACTGTTTCCTAGGCAGTGACTCGATGAGGGTTGCTGGAGGAAAACGTTTTATGAAGAGGTCTTGAGAAAGAAGTTGGTTTCATAGTATACAGCTGTGAAAATTCTGATCCATGCTTGTGCTTTCTCTGCTTTTAAAATATCTAAAATTAGATTAGGTAATCATTGATATTCATGTGAAAAGGTCCTATTTAATTGTACGTGTAGCTCCCTTGCAACTCAGAACAAGAAAATACAGCTGGTATGAGACAGGCTTCTGGAACCTATGTTTCTAAGACAGCTTAATAATCTTAAGGAGGTTGTGTTTTTTACTGTCTTCCTCATTCATGTATTGCTCCTTAAATTGTTTATTCTCCCCAGTGGTTTTTCGGTTTATTTGTTGCGCTGATGAAATAGAGGTTTATTGGGGGTTTTTTGTTTTGGTTTTTTTTTATGCCAGACTCTTAGTTCTAAAGTCAGATGCTTTGTGTTTTAATGTAAACAATGTTTTGCTGTAATTTAGACTCTTCAGGTTGAGGGACAGGGGGCATTTGTTTTCTATTTCAGTAATTGTCCATACGTACATTCGTATTTTGGGTTGTTGTGCATCACAAACAGTTAAGACCAGAAACTTTCATTGCCTTGGCAGTTAACTGTAGGGCATACTTTCAGCCCCTTTTTCATGTCTGTCTTTCTTTTCTTTGGCTTTACAATTCTCTGCTTCCTGAGATCTTCAGGTTCAAGCCTTCGTTGTCACTTCAGTGCATGTTCCTTCTCCTTTATACTGCTGAAGACTGCTTGGTAAAAATCTTTAAAACAGGATATCGTAGCATTTCTTAAAAAAAGATTTCCATATTTCTTGTTCTTAAACAAGTGGCTCTTCTGCCATGTTAAAAGTTGCACAGTGAACAGCTTACCATTTCTATTAGTCTTTAAAATCTGAAGCTCAATCCCCATCTTAAAATGTTTCTTCTGAAACTGGTCACCCAAGCAGTTGCTGTAAAATAGTGCTCATAGCTCTTTTTCTTGGGCCTTCTATAATCATTGCAGGCCTCAGGAGAAGCTTAATGCCCTTGACCTTCAAAAGACATAAAAGACCAAAACCATTTTTCTTGAATTCCCTGCATCTCAGTATTCATTCTAGTACCTTTTCAGGGTAGTCAGGAGTGTTGAATTCCTTTTGTGTTTGCTTGTTTCCAAGTATTTATCTGTCTTCGTAGATTTTGGTTTTGCTTTTAGCCAGATGTAGCATCACCACAAATATTGTGAACAAAGAACTGGGATGAGTTGCCCATCTCACTGCTCTGCTGCCCGGCCTGTTCCCAAGAGTTTCTTTAGCAGAAGTCATTCGACAGAAGATCCTTTCCCTATGATTCTGGGGAAGAGAAAGGGAAATTTTTGAGAACTCTGAAGAAGAAAGGAGGGTAACAACCTTTACTTGTGCTTTAAAAGGCCCTCAGAAAAGCAGGGCCACTTTGATCTCCCTGTTGTTGGCGTTCATTGATGCTATGTTTCCTCACTTCTGGAGAAGGGAGATACTCCCATATGTTTATCAGGACAACTGGCTAGTGAAATGAATTACTGTGAACCTTTTTGATCTCTGGCTCGAACTGAATCATTAGAAATCTAACTTACAGCTTCTGCAGACATTGGAATTGATAAGAACTGATTTCAACTCGGGATCAATCGGGGCCTTTCTGTGCCAGGAGTGGTTCTTAGCTATAAAGTCACTTGACAGGAGATCTGCCTACTGCTCTGGTGAGTTTGTGACCGGCAAGTCTAGATCACGTTAGCAGCCAGCACTTTTGCAACACTTTGTTCTAAATTCTTTCTTCACATGCTCCAAATGTGGATGCGCTTTACTCATTCCCTGGAGTGCAGTCTCTTTAGCATGGTGATGATGGTTCTCAAAGAGGTTATTTTCTTCCTACAGTGAGGATGGGATCCTCAAAGCGTCTGTGAGGAAATGCCATTTCACCATCCTCTTCCATCTTGGTCAGTTGTGGTAGAAGCTTCCCCATTGGATTGGGAAGCCCTATCACCTGACCTGAAGGCTCAAGATCTGTTCATTCGTAGAGAGGTTAGTATATCAACGTACTGGAATTCCAAACTGTATGAAAGATGTCTCAACATTGTTGTGCCATAGCTAGATTCATAGTCTGTAAGTGACAACAGCCAGCTTCACAACCTTGTTAGTCACTTAGCAAACAAAATGCTGAAAGGTCCTGTTGACAAGCAGTTAGTCTTTTGACACCTGTATGTTTGGAATGAGGTATCTCAGTAGTTTTTACTCTGTAGTGCTCACATCTGCCTTGCCTGGTTGGTGTTTGGTATAGTCAGCACACCTGGATGCTGCTAGATAGCAGACTTGGCTTGGCTTGGCTTGAAGTCTTTCATTATTTTTAGAGACTTGAAATGTGCTCCAAGAGAAAATCATCAGAGAGAATCTAGCAGGAGGTATCTGTTATTCTTTGCTAGCGTTAGCTATGCCTTACTGCGTCAGATGGCTTCCTTATTCTTGTGCCTTCCCTCTAAATCATTGCTACCCAGGATTCTTCAAAAAGTGAAGTTACATGAGAAACACCTCATCCTACTCTCCTCTGACCTAAATCAGACAAATTTTATTTAGGACTTTCTGATCCTGAGAATCTTCTTTCTTCACCTGCGAATTGCAGGATATAGTCATGGAGCGCTTAGGCTGGCATAACTTTTTCAGATTCTTTAGATCCCTTAGATTCCTCTGCAACAAACAGGCTCGAGGGAATCAAGGGAAGCTTGGTTTTTGTGGTTTTCTGATTTTGGGGGGTTCCATGGGGTTGCGGGGTTTTTCTGAGTAACACAGAGCTGTAGATGATCAGAGGGACTGGGGTCGTTCACTGTATGTACTGTTTAGGTAAAAAGAGGGGCAATCTTGGTTGGTTGTGGTGCGCAGCATGCGGACAGTATGTTTTTAAGAACAGCTGCAGCGTATATGGCTTTGCTTTGTTTATGGAAGTTGGGGTGACAGGCACAACATTTTGGCAATCTGCAGTCCTATAGAAGAGGACTTTCATACATACTTTGAAAATCACCTTTGAAGAGTGTATTTTTACATGCTTAATTCTAGCTTAGGTGTTTCTTCAGGAGTTAATTACACCTTTTGCTGGAGATTTGCAGTGTTTTGCAAAACTGTTCAGCTTTAATGTAGCAATGCAGTCTAGGTGACTTTGTACACTTTATACACTTTGGTTTGATGAAATACTTCACAGCAGAGGGTATTTTTGTATGTTTTGGCTGTAACTTCTTGATAATCAAAGAAAGCCACAGTTACAAATATGTATCAGGTATTTTTATGGCCAGTGTTTGTAGCTTAGGTAGTTGTTTTTTTCCTTATGTGGTCATTTGCCAGTCCTTCTCCTGTACTCTGTAATGCCATTTCTTGTTTAGCTCTTAAAAGAGCTAAATCGGGAGTAAGTTTTAGTAGACTTTGCAAACTGCAGAGAAGAATGTGAGTAAAGGATCAGGGAAATAAGGCAATTAGGGACCTGCTGGCTGTCCAGGACATAGGACTTCTGTGACTAGTCTTCATGGGTAGTTTTTGCATCTGAACATGAGATGCTTTTGTCTTAATCGCAAAACGACTAATAATTCCTTTCGTATTGCAGCATCTAAAAGCAGTTTGTTTCCCAAGTGTTCCAAGCATAGTCATACAGTTTGAAATTACTTTGAACACTGTATTAAATCAGAGTTGCCAGATACCAAGATCTGATCTGGAAAGAACTTTCCGGGTGTTGTACAGTTATGTGGATTAGAGAGCGATCTTCACCATTAAAAGTCTGGTGTGAGAGCTGCAGCTGCCATGGGATCACTGACTTTTCTGCTCCCGGGTTTTTACAGGTTACCTCTAGTCCTATCTTTATTTGCTGCTGCTCAAAAACAGGCAGCCCCGCAGAAACACGGAGGGACATCAAAAGATTAAGTTTTTTTCCCAGGCCTCAAGGAGGTGTTATCATCTGCAACATATAGCCAGCCTGGCTACAGGGGGACTACTTGGAAAGCGTTTCAATAACCTGTTTCAGAGCTCTTTTGAGACAACTTGCCAACATGTTGAAAAAATGTGGAAAACATTGATTTAAGACTGAAGTTCACTTTCAAGAAACTTGATACATTTATGAAGTAGTCCTAAGAGGTGAACTTATTTAATGTTTGGGGCGAGTACTGGGAGAAAGCTTAAAAATGACCTAATAGAAATTTTTAGTTTATGAAAATGATGGGTGAATGTAAAGGGAGGGTTCCTTATTTATGAAATCGTTAATCTATCTGGTGCAATTCAAAACTGTGTATCTCAGTATGTGAAGGATGTATGCAGCTATGTAACACAGAGTAATAGGTGTATGACTTCAAAGTACCTGTGTATTCATTTTTAAGCAGTGAGTTGTTTAACAAACAGAAGAAGAATGTTTGAACAAGACTGTTGTTGGTAAGTTCTGTATGTGAATATATATTTGTATGTTTCTTTCCCAGTGTTTAGTACTCAGTGTTTTATTTGGCATTTTGTCTGTTTTTTTCCTCTTGCAGGTAGTAAGTTTTCTACACACGGTCTTGCTGTGTGACAAGCTGGATTTTCGGACAGCTCTGGTAGTGTGTCCACTGAACACTGCCTTGAACTGGTTGAATGAGTTTGAAAAATGGCAAGAAGGTTTAGAAGATGATGAAAAACTAGAGGTATAAGCCTTAAAAAGAGTTCTTAAAAATGAAATAACTGTTTACAGAATTGGGAAGCTCCATCACTCAAAATATAGGCTAAGGAATGCACTTTGAGTATGTGAAAAATCTACTTGCATTAATAAGCCTTAGGTATTTAAAAGTTACACCAGTACTTCTGTATTTTAAGAAAAATTCAAGCATATTTTTCCCCCTTTGGAAGGTCTGTGAACTAGCAACTGTGAAACGCCCTCAAGAGAGAAGCTATATGCTCCAGCGTTGGCAAGATGAAGGAGGTGTGATGATAATAGGCTATGAGATGTATCGTAATCTTGCACAAGGCAGGAATGTGAAGAGTAGAAAACTTAAAGAAATATTTAATAAAGCTTTAGTTGATCCAGGTAAGTGAAAATGAAATACAAATACACATTATATATATTGTACTTTCTGGTTTATGTATATGAGCTAAATAATATTGCAAATGGGAATCTTTGGGCAAATAATTTTAAACAATAACGTTAGTAAGATTTAACGGATCGTCTTTGTTGGCTTTTGCTGAGTTACAGAAATGGTTGTTCAGAAACTGCCCCATCTGCTTTTGTAAATAGACTTCTATAACCGTCTTTTCTATTAGATCAAATACAGAAATGACCACAGGAATATATACTGGAAACCTTTCCTAATAGGTATCTTTTTTACTAGCATTGCTTTCTTTGCAAGGTAACTTGAAGTGATTCTGTTGGGAACCTAAGGTTATTTTAATCTGCTAGTTTGTTACAACCACAAGCTGCTTTATCCTTGAAAGAAATCTACCATTAAGGGAGCAGCTACACATGAAAAATAGTTGAGAATGTACCTTGGAAGTGTGAACAAACAAGTTTTAATTTTAAGTGCTAATGAATTGGTTGCAGATAAAGCACTTAATTCATTTTTTCAGTCTAAGAAACAGATACCAGGTTTAAGCTCAGCTGAACTGAGCAAACTTATGTAAGTATATATATAAGCACTTGAAAATATTCCAAGTTTATATAACCAATCTATCAGGTGGTCACCAAAAAGAACTAAAAATTTCAGGATTAGCAAGTTTCACCAAAATAGCAAAATTTGATATTTCTCTTTAAATTGAGAATGCTGATATGGTAGGCAGGTAAATGGTTTCTTTGGTTCGGGAGGTAGGTTTTCTTGGGTTTTAACTATCTGGCTGGTCTTTAGGTTTCTTACGAGAGTGTGGTTGATGATTTTTTTCTTTCTTTTTTCTTTTTTTTTTTCTTTCTGATTGATGAAATAAATCATTGGTCTGGTTTATAGTTGTACTTGGTGAGCTTGATTTTGTGAAGTTTCAGATAATAGTAGGGCTGTGAATTTTGTTCTAACAGGTAAAGGGATTCTTCTAAGGAAAAAAATAAGTTTGTGATTATTGGTGTTGGCCAGTTGGAACTGCCATCTCCAGCTCTGCAGAAAGCCTGTTTGAGCAGCTAAAACGTTAATTAATTTTCTGCCAGTTTGACTCACTAAATCACATAATTGCTGCGGGGTCAGGGAAGCTCCAGTACAGTAGCTGATGCACTATTTTTGTGATCATGTTGAATCCGCAGGCATTTAAGTACTGAAGAAATGCAGTTCTTGCCAGTGAGTTTTCTGACTCCTTCTATTAATGCTGCAGTTACTAAAAACAAACAAAAAAAAATGTGGGGGTGAAAATGGGGCAACCCTGTGCTCTCAGTCTTATTCTGTATCTGATTTGCTCAGGGTATTGCATTTGTTGAGAATGTTGCCAGGAAAGTCAAAGCTAGAGAAGAAAAGGTGTGAACTGCTGCCTTGAAGTAGTGGTGACGGGACAGTAGCCTGACAGGGCAGTAGCTTTGTATTCACTTGGTCATATTCTGGTGCAATGATGAAAAAAAAAGTTACACACTCTTACAGTGGTTGATTTTTGTGGGTTTTTTTCCTTGTGGAAAGTATAAGGGAGGCTAAACATAGGGGTCGTTACCATGTGTCTTTATAGTAATATTGTCCCTTCCTTCATGGATTTGTATTTATGTAACTGCAAAAATACTGGACTGTGGAATGAGGTGGCATGTTGCGCATGCAGTTTTACGGAGGAGACACAGTGGCTTGTGTAACCTTTCCTGTCCCATCTCTTGTGAATCTCGTGGGTTTTACACCCTGCTTATAGGTGTGCTTCTGTTCTACTTCCAAACCTCTTTAGACAGCTTAGGACAACGTGAAAGAGCAGTGTTTGGTGATTAGGTTATTGACTTTTGTAGATTTAATCAAGTTCAGAAACTGCAACACATTGAGCCTTGCAGGTTTTGAATAATTTCATATGCACATATTCCCTGTTTTATTCTCTTCTTGGACTAGTTGCTTGGTAGGATGGAATCAGGCCGTTAGGAAAACTAACCTTGAAATAACTCCGTAATTACTTTTGTGTTGCTTCAAATCTTTCTCTATTTTAACTAATTACAAAAAGGCAGAAGTGTTCATCTGTTGTTGTCCCTTAGTTTTTGGAGACATTTGGATTGGCTAAATTGATGAGAAGTATCTTGCAATGACCATTATTTGTTTCTTGCTATCTTTGTGAATCACAGCATTGGCAATATAGCAGGCTGCCAGTAAAAGAGTTATGAAGCTATGTGCTGGCTTACTGCTGTGACTGTAATAGGAAAACCTTTGCCTCTGGGAGCATTTTTAATTTAAAAAGTTGCAAATTCGGTATTTGAGCGATAATCTAATGGTATGTGTCTGGTTAAAATGAATACTGCTAGGGTAGACATTTAATGATACGTGTCTGGTTAAAATGAATACTGCTAGGGTAGACATATCCTATAGTAGGAGCTTGTATTGCACTGTATCCTACAGAAGAGGGGACCAGAGAGGGAAGGTTTAGCCAAAGTTTATGGGTGGAGAAGTGATTTCATTAATTAACTAGCTCTGCTATGTGAAATAATAGCAGGATTATATACGCATGCAGAGCAACAAATGGTTTCCCATAATGCCTTGTGCAACTGATGAAATGCTGTTTGGTTTATTGATAGCTGTTGTGCTTTGCTTGCAGCATTGCAGTAACTTTGTATTTTCTTACTTGTTTCTACCAATAAAAATTCCATTACTGTTTAACTTGGAAAGAGCTCTTTAATTGGCAGTTGTATGAAGCAGACTTAAGTTCTTGTAGACTTCAGAGGAAAAGGAGAAACTGTATGTGTGTCTATATATCTATCACTGAGTACGTGTTATGTATATCACTATAGTAACGTGCAAGTACAGCAAGAAGGATAAGAAGAGGAAGACTATGATCTTTGAGGAAAGATTGAAGGAGTAAGGCTTTTTAGCCTCGGAAAAAGACAACTAAACTGACAAATTTTCCACCATGTAAGAGCTGGTTACTGTAAGGGCTGTTATCAGCTGTTTTTTACATCAGTTGGAGAAAGGAAAGGGCAGAATTTATTCTGATGTGCAGCAGAGATCATTTAAATTAGGTATTATTGCACAGAGTTTTAGCAAAAGAGAGAGGTCATGGAGTTTCCTACTACTGTCAGGGAGGATATGTCCCTTTCTCATAGCTCTTATCTCAGATGAAGAAAATGGCCTAAATGATCCCTTGAGATCCCTTTAAGTTTTACATTCCTTTATAATACTTTGAGAAATGTTCTGTCCATAATGAATTGCATTCATGTTTTTTAAGCACAGGGAAAAAACCCAGAAATTTATGAAAATCCCTGCCACTGAGTTGTAGCCAAGATGTTAGTTCAAGATATCAATGCTACATGCCTGCCAAACAAACCACGAATAATTTTACTAAGATAGTTTTTTCATATTTTTGCTATCAATCGCTTACTCTAAACAGCAGGTTTTGAGGTGGGTTTTTTGGTTTTGTTTTGTTTTTTTTTCTAACTAACCACTTCATGTTAGTGAGTCACAGTCTTTACTGAAACTGATTTCTGGGGTATTTGCACAATTTTGATTGCTATCTGTCATTAAGACTTCATTATCCTTTTTTAATGTACTTCAATTCTGATTATAAGCATAATGTACTAGACCAAATCTATTTCTGAGAATGATATATTAATGTGCAAGCTGTCACATCTGGTGGGGAGATGTTGCAAATACTTCAGTTCTAGAAAATGGCTCATAACCATCTCAGTAGTACCGCACACTGCATGAACAGCTTGCCTGCAAGCCTTACTCGTCAGGAAATACCGGAGTGAGGACTAGAGAAAGGATCTGTTACTATTAAAGAGAGGTTTGCCTAAAATTAAAGGAAGGCTTTGTGTGTAGCCACTCAGTGTTTTGCATGCTGTCAAAACTGGGGAAGGTACAAAAGTCGTGAAATAATATGAGGAAATGTTTTTGTGGCAAGTGTGAACATTCAGAAATAAGTAGGCTTGGAAAGTCTAGGAGTGTTTGGAATTCATATGTGGATTTTCATAGTTGTCTTCTAGACTTGGTTAAAAGGACAATTTTTTTCTGCTTGGAAAAAAAAAAATCTTGATTCCTTTTGTGTTAGCATGTGAGATTCAGATCACTTTTTGACACTTAAAATGGCATGATTAATATGACTGGCACTGGCATTAAATCATGCAAGTGGTCAAAGGTGTAATTGATTCTCTGTTGTTGATCACTGTCCTAGAGTTAATTTTCTTCTTTACAAGGCAGTTTAAAGTTAGTCTGAAGAAAACTGTTCGTAGTAATTTATAAAAGATTGGATTATCCATGCTGATAAATACTCCTTTGCCACCTCAAATATCAGCCTTTTTAGAGCTGAATAGATGAACCCAGCTGATGGCTTTGTATAGTATTTTCAAAGGTGCATAAACTTGGCTTCAGCTGACTTCATGGTTGATAGTACTGGAACTGAGGTAGGTTTAGATCTGGTAAAACATTCATTCTAAGTTACTAGTTGGATCCTAGAATATCTTTCACTTCTCCTTCCAAGCAAAGCGCTTCCAGAAATTGCCCCAAATCTGAAAACCATTAGAGCGTGTAAGTCCGTTTTGCCAAGTTTGGTATTCATAGAATCATAGTATCATTAAGGTTGG